ATTAAAACTAGCTGGTTCTTTAATACGTATATCACTGGTGATGTTTTGTAAACAAAATATCTCATATTTGTGAGTGAAATTAAAAAGTACACTGTTATCTTGTTCTATATCATCAATTGAGAATGTATGATCTAGTGGTTTATTGTATTCATTTTTTGAATTGTTTATTGCACTATTGATATCAACACAGATAAAATGTATAAAGAATACACCATTTTCATTCTCCTCATCATCAATTGAACACATATCATCTGATAATATATCGTATTCCTTTTTTACACTGAAAACACATAAAATGAGTACACTATATATGTTTACTATAACATCAATTGAACACATACAATTTTATATTATATAGTGTTCTGTTTTGCTTGTTTGTTTTATACACTATGAATAAAACACAGAAAAGAGGTAAACTTATATACACGTATCCATGAAATTAGCAGTTAATTATAATTTTAAATGTATATGTAGCTGTGCTTGGTGATATAGATGGTTACTTTGGTTTCTGAATCTGCGAAGTGCTTTCATGAATTTGGTCAGTTGGACGTTTGTACTTACAACTTTCCGGTGTGCCAACACTGTTCTTCCCTTGAAAGTGATAAAATAATATTGGTTGTGTAGGAATGTCATCGTTCTCTTTGTTTCAGTGTTGTTGACTAACTTTTTTGTTTCCATTCATTATAGTGTTAGTGTTTTTGTTTTCATTGTTGTGTTATGCTGTCGATTGCCCTAGGGAACTGTCTCATTCATATCACGAGATGCAGCACTTTAAGTTGATGCATTGTAGCTGCAGCTTGCACTTGCGACATTGAAGTATTCAATTAAAAAACGGAGATTGATTGCTGTTTTTATCATTTGTTTTTAGTTTGTTAGTTTCTGTTCAGTATTCACATCATCCTCAGTCTCAGCATTCGAATCGTCTGAATTTGAATCTTGTGTGCAATCACTGTGGTCTTTAACATTGACTGACTGGTCTTGGTCGTTGTGTTTGTGTTCTTGAAATTGTGACACTCATCTTGCTTGTGCTCGGAGTTTATGCATCCTGTACATACTGTACATTCTGACAGTCCCTTAGCATATGTACAGTTTGCTAACCTCTTATTACAAGTGACTTGAGTAGAATCGGTCCTCTGTTTTTATGTAGTAATACGGCTGCGTATTTTCTAATTCTTAATGTTTACAACTATTACCTTAGTTTTTTATCTTCTTTTCTCTGAATTTGGAATAAAGCTTCTGTGTACTAGACCAACGCGCTGCAGAAAGACATACTGTCTTCCCATACACATTATTTTGACTCTTTCTTCTCACTCCTAAACTTGTCGGGAAATGCTGATGGTGTGAATTTATTTACATAGGTTATAAGAGTTGCACAATTTCTTATTCTTTTTCCTGGACATTTTTTTATGAACTGCCTACGATAATATTGGATGTCGCATAAAGTTCAAGTTGTGGTCTTAATCTAGTTGACAATGAAGTTGTGGTTACATCAATTTAAACCTTAGTGAACCTCTTCATTATGTTGTAAACTCTTTATTTAGGCTTTTGACACAGATTCCGATGTTTATTGAACATAGAAATGTCACAAAGTGAACGGTTATAGTTTCCTTTCGCCTCTCTTCCTAGGGAGACGTGTTCGTGTTTATATTTCGATTGATAAATTAAAATATTTTCATAAGCTTAATGTTTCATTAGTTGTAAAATACTTGAGAAGTTCATGTCCCACTGATTTAATTTGTTCTTAAAGCTGGAGAGATTGAAATTTAAAATATAGTAATAATTAGTTGTATAACATGTCCGTCGTACAAAATTTATATCCTGGTATCTATGTTGAGTTTATTTCTACCATTTATAGGCAAAATTCAAAAGTCACGGTAACTGGTCATCTTACCTATAAAATTTCCAGCAAAATTTGGCATACCATTTACCTCTTTTTCATCGTTTATAGGAGGAATTAAAATCCGAGTCTGTGGTACTTAACCTACTTTTTTGGTAACCCTTTTTAGGATAAAAGAATTTTCCCCTCTAAGAGTTCTTGTTAAAGATTATTTGAGAAAAACTTCGAATTTCTGACGGTAACTGGTACTCGACCAGTATATATCCAAATTCTGGGAAAGTACTTTTATTTATGCGGTACCATTTTTTGTTGTTTTCGTAGATGGCTTAATCCACGAATTAAAGTGTTCACGAAATATAACAACTGTTGTCCATATCAAGACATTAAAAGATCCCCATGTAGGTTTGACTACATGGATACGGGCAAATAATCTAGAGAATACATTGCATTAAAAAAATGCAATATGACCTATATTTACAACTTCAAACAGGATTTTACCCATTTAATTTTTGTCTCACCTGCGACGAAAGTCGCGGAAAGCGAGACATAGGGATTGCTTTTCCGGCGACGATGACGACGACGACAATTCAACAATTGTTAAGTTTTCTGCTTAAGTTAGTTTGATAGTATCAACTTGTGATAGATCATTGATATTTAATATAAAGTGGCCTTAGAATCAGTACATATAAGTTTGACGACTGTTTTGATGCCCTGCCACTAGGATATGATCCAGTGTTTTTGAATTAAATAGGAATTTTCAATGTTAAGATTTCTGCTTAAGTTAGTTTGATAAGATCTATTTGTGGTAGATCAATGATATTTTGTATGAAGTTGCAATACTATCAGTTCATATCAGTTTACGACTTTTTCGAGGTCCTACCCCCAACGTCATAGTCCAGCCACTTTCAATTAATAAGCAATTTTTAATGTTAATTTTTCTACTTAAGTCAGTTTGATAGGAACAACTTGTCATAGATCGAGGATATTTTCTATAAAGTTACATTACTATCAGTACATATCAGTTTGATGACTATTTTGAGGCCCTGCCCCTAAGGACATGATCCAGTGACTTTGAATTAAATAGCAATTTTTAATGTGAAGTTGTCTGCTTAAGTTAGTTTGAGAGGATCTATTTGTGATAGATCAATGATATTTTGTATGAAGTTGCATTACTATCAGTTCATATCAGTTTGACGACTTTTGCGAGGTCCTATCCCCTACCCCATTGTCCAGCCACTTTCAATTAATAAGAAGTTGTTATCGTTAAATATTCTGCTAAAGTCAGTTTGATAGGAACTACTTGTGATAGATTGGTAATATTTTCTGTAAAGGTACATTACTATCAGCACATCTCAGTTTGTCGACCATTTCCAGGCTTTACACTCTAGATCATGGTCCAGCGACTATGAATAATATTGATAAGCCATGTTGCTGTCCACCAGATTGTCTTTTCCTGAATTTAATACGTACAGGCGAGACATATCTCTGTGTCAACAATTTATGATAAAACCTAAACTGTACGACTTATGAACTTTTAATTCTCATGAGCAATTAGTTTTGATTGATGAAACTCAGACTTCCAGTGGTGATATGCGATGATGAAATGTTCATTCTATCTCCTCGTAATTCTTATACGAAATAAAAATTCAGATAAGGCTTGCGTTTTTATTATGGCCCCGCAGCAAAGTTGTCCGGTCCATATAGTGTTATCTTTGTACGTAATTCCGTCAGTTTGCAACGAACAGTTATACGGACTTTTTTTCGGAACCCCTTAACATAATGAACTTATATTTAGTATGAGAGTCAACTATGATAAGTTAAAAATCGAGTTTACGTTTGGTTCCGCTCCGCAGATTTTTGCAGAAGTTACTGGCTTTTGACTTCGAAAATTTCACGAATATAGCAGTTATACAGACTTTTTTCTAAAGGCCTTTACATATTGAGCAAATTTTTCAGTATGTAAGTCTATTATGATGAGTTACAGATCGCGTACACGTTTGGTTTAGCTCATTTGATTTTTGCTGAAACTACGGGCTTAGGACTTTGAAAATTTTGTGAAAATAACAGGTATACGGATTTTTTTTAAACGCCTTCATATATTGAGCTGATTTTTTGTATGTGAGTGTACTATCATGAGTTACAGATCGAGTTAACAATTGGTTCCGCTCCATTAATTTTTGCTGAAATTACAGGCTTTGGACATTGAAAATTTCGCGAAAAATAACAGTTGTACAGACTTTCATTCTCAAATCATCACTCCAAAAAATGTCTCTAAGCTTTGTTGCGAACGGGGCCATTTGTACCGCTCTGACAGATCTAGTTTCATGAGAAATAATTCTACAACTTAAAGTGCATATGTAGCATTATTTTTATGTATCTGTTTCTTTAAGTGGTATATTTATAACCCAATTAACACCTTTGATGATCGTTTATCTGTTTATATTTAACATTCGATCCCGGGTTAATAATTTTCATCACTTCTGATTATCCGTGTGCAACAATTAAAATGTTTACTTTGCAATTTCCTTCAATCGAGACAATTTGTAAGCATAGAAGAAACAGCTTATTATATCCGTGTGCAACAATTAAAATGTTTACTTTGCAATTTCCTTCAATCGAGACAATTTGTAAGCAGAGAAGAAACAGCTTATTTTCTAAAGCACATATTTAATAAAAATTTGACGAATGTCGTCAGTAATGAAAGACGAATGAGTAAGTGAAAATGAACACCTTATTTTGCAAAATAAAACAAGATATTACTATTTTTAAAAATCTTCATTTCTGATGGCTTCAAATTCTTCACTCGTTTTTGTTTTCTTCAGAAAACTAAGATCCACGAATTTGAGAACCCACGAACATATAACTTTCCTCTAACCACGAAAATTGATACCCTCGAATAAAAGTACCTTCACACTATAATACTTTGATAGTATACGAAAAAAAATCAAAGTAATAATTAACAACAGCATATATATGCGACTTGAATTTGTTATTCAGATGAATGAGGAAAAATTAACAAAACTAAAATATGAGAACTAGGTTATCCGGATATCTGGTTTGATATTTAGGTAATCATTAATTGTTTTAATTTCCCATTTTTCGAATAGAATAAAAATTCAATAAAACTGCCATGGATGAAGCTCAAACAATCTGGTTTTGCAATTTATGTCAAGGTAGTGAAAATGTTAAATGGAAATGTGTGAGCTGTCAACTATTACTGTGCAATACTTGCAAATCAAATGTTCATTCAAAATTTAAACTTGCTGATACTCATATCATCATCGATGTCAAAGACGTAGGGACAAGTATTGAAGACTCTTCTTCAGAAATCGAATATGGAAAGTGTACTTTGCACAGAATCAAGGAAACGTGTTTGTATTGTAGAGACTGCAATAGTCTTGTTTGTTTGAAATGTGTATCCGAAACACACCAACAACACTTGTTAATTGATACTGATCAAATATACACGGAGAAAGAAAGCCAAGTTTCAAATCTTATTGAGTTGTACAAACAGAGAATTACGTCAATTACAAATATCAACAAAATCTGTCTGAAAAAATATGAAGAATCCAAAGAGAAAATAATCAAAAGAAAGGAAGATCTGACATCATTATTGGATGACCATTCAAAACATATGTTATATCAACTAGAGGAAAAATCTAAAAATACGGACTTCGAGTGTAAGTTAGAAGATTTGAGCAAAACTTTAGATCTACTGCAAAAATGTCAACTATCAAAACGTGCAGATTTATTAATAGAAACCTTAAACACCATTCAAGACATAGATTTACATCAGGATCTTGCAGAACGCTTCCCTAGATTTGTCATGGGAAGGCCATTACCATGCAAAATAATTGAAACGTTCGGTTCATTTCAAGAAGAAAACGTTGTAGATCCTAACGAGGAAATAGAACTGTTGTTGGAGAGTTCTCACTCTACATCGCTTAAAATGATCAAGCGAATAGTAGAAATTTCAGATGAGAAATGTTATGTCTTTGATGAGTCGTCTCTTTATTGTCTTGAATTTAAGAAAGAAGAAAAGGTTCATATAAAAAAGATTGCCGATATTAAAGCTTTTGATATTTCTCTTTTAAAGTCCAATGAAATTTTGATAGCAATGAAAACAGAAGGAAAAATTATGATTCTAAAACATTCACTTAAGATGAAACTATTCCACTCTTGTTCAGGTCTTTTACCAAGGGGAATACATATTTCAAAAGACGATAAAGTTATTGTCGGAGTTCGAGAAGAAGGTGAATTAGGACTTTCGGTAGGTAAAGATTGCAAACGGCAAATAAAAATTCTTGACATAAACGGACTAGAGGAAAATGTATTTGAATATGACAAAGATGGAAAACGCATTGTTTCAATGCCGATGAAAATAAAAACAAACACTGATGAGGATATGTTTATTATTGATACGATTTCAAAACTCGAAGGGCGCATTGTATTTTTGACTAAATATGGTAATGTTTCTTGGGTGTATAAAGGGGAAGAATCTGCAAAATATTTGTTTCAACCATGGGATTTGGTCGTTACCTCAAGAGACAATGCCATTATCTCTGACGTGGGGAATCAAGCATTTCACATCTTGAACAGTAATGGACAATTGCTTAAAAAGCACAGTTCAATTGATATAGGATTTTCATTTCCATTTTCTCTGTCAATCTACCGAGGAAATAAATTGCTTGTTGGATCACAAATACTCTATATGGATGATATCACTGATACGTGTAAACACAAATCCACGAACATTTTTCGTATTACCATCAAAGGAATATGAATAAAACCAACTATTTCTAGGTATAAAAACAAACCTTTTTGCAGATGTGGAAGTCTGCTTTCTTTGATCAGGACATACATTTGCAGATTACTAGTATTCTACTGTTCGTTATGTATGTACCATTGCGAAAAATTATTTTCACTGTTTTGCAGAATAGAAAACAATCAAATCAAGTTTTGTACTCTAAATTAAAAACCTTTTACTAGTGGTTATTGATGTTTCATTGTGCTATTTTCAGCTATATGGAGTTCAGGTTCATTGTTTTAAAGTTATTTCCCTTCTTTTTTTGTATTCATCTTGTCATTGGATATTCAGTACCTCTTAGATATTAATCTCCTTTTTACAACAAATTTGATTTGTGTGTTTGTTGATTTTGTGATTGGCCGATACTTTTTCTTACCTAGCACCTGGAATGTCTAATGTGGACAAGGTGTTTTTATACCATTGCGGTATTTGTACGGTTTAAATGATAATTTTCACTGTAAATTTTCAATTTATAAGTTATATAATTGTAGTACCGTCAGGTATTTCTTATTTTTTGGGGTCATTTTTCGTTTTTTTGCCATGGCATTATCAGTTCGTTTTCGACTTATGAGTTTGATGATCACTTTGGTGTCTTTCGTCTCTCTTTTTCATGACGAGAACAAATTAACAATATATACAACAAAAGGGTTATGCAAGGTAGGGATTGACCGGGTTGAATGTGAATAGATGTGAAATTTAAAAATCACTGGAAAATTAGGATATGATGGATAGGAACAGAAGTTTTGACGGTAAACATGCCACGAAAGGACCCCTCGGAGAGTTTTTGTAAGGGTTGGTTAATGCGCTGAGATCATGATTCTCTCTCTACACGAGGCATCGGATTTAAAGTACCCATTTCCACTGGACCTGACTGTGTATTTGTTCATCCTCCACAGCCAAACAGACGCCCCAGTCTAGCAAGGGTTTTACGACATGAATAGGAAAAATTTAAGGATTTCAACCATGAGAGTTATATCAAACCCAAAAAACATAATACAATACACAATAAAGGTCTTTCCACCACAAATTTACATCAGGTAATAAAACAGATGTTCGAATAAAGTAACCTTAAGATCAAAAAGTCACTTCCAGTATCACAAGATAGCTCATATAACACCTATTCTTAAAAACATAGGTTGTATTTATTGTTTTTCAATGATAAAGGGAGATAATTATCAGTTTGACGACTTTTTCGAGGTTCTACCCCCTAGGTCATAGCCCAGCCACTTTCAATTAATAAGCAATTTTTAATGTTACGTTTTCTGCTTAAGTCAGTTTGATAGGAACTACCTTTGAAAGATCGATGATATTTTCTATAAAGTTACATTACTATCAGTACATATCAGTTTGATGACTATTGTGAGGCCCTGCCCCCTAGGACATGATCCAGTGACTTTGAATTAAATAGCAATTTTCAATGTTAAGTTTTCTGCTTAAGTTTGTTTGATAGTATCTATTTGTGTTAGATCAATGATGTTTTGTATGAAGTTGCATTACTATCAGTTCATATCAGTTTGACGACTTTTTCGAGGTCCTACCCCCAACGTCATAGTTCAGCCACTTTCAGTTAATACACAATTGTTAATGTTAAGTTTTCTGCTTAAGTCAGTTTGATAGGAACTACTTGTGTGATAGATTGGTAATATTTTCTATAAAGGTACATTACTATCAGTACATCTCAGTTTGACGACCATTTCCAGGCCCTACCCACTAAATAAAGGCAACAGTAGTATACCGCTGTTCGAAACTCATAAATCGATAGAGATAAAAACAAATCCGGGTTACAAACTAAAACTGAGGGAAACGCATCAAATATAAGAGGAGAACAACGACACAACAAAAACACAACATTAAAATGTAACACACACAGAAACGAACTATAATATAACAATGGCCATTTTCCTGACTTAGTACAGGACATTTTAAGAAAAAAATGGTGGGTTGAACCTGGTTTTGTGGCATGCACAACCTCCCGCTTTTATGGCAACGTCAAACACAACACCAAAACGACAAAATCACATGACAGGACCACAATACAAATAAATGGGAGAACATATAGGACAAAGAAACATACGAATAATAGCTAACAAAAGGTACTAGGCTTAAAATTCAATACGCCAGACGTGTGTCTCGTCCACACAAGACCAACCAGTGACGCCCAGATGAAAAACGTTTGAAAGCCAAAACAAGTACAAAGCTGAAGAGCACCGAGGCCCAAAACTTCCAAAAAGTTGCGCCTAACACGGCCAGGGTTTTCTGCCTGGGACAAGAACATCCTTAATATTTAGAATAATTGATAATTTTGCAAACAGTAAATTTTATAAATTGACTATATAATAGATATACATGATAAAACCGAAGTGGGGACTAACTACAGAATAAAAACGGATACATCACATAAAACAACTTAATCCAACACACAAAAATACACAGCAGAGTTAGCCAAAGCCTAAACGCATAAAGTGACGTCACATTTGAAACACTAAATCATGGTCCAGCGACTATTGATGATATTGATAAGCAATGTTGCTGTCCATCAGATTGTCTTTTCCGGAATTTAATGCCTACAGACGAGACATATCTCTGTGTCAACAGTTTATTATAAAATCTAAACTGTACGACTTTTAATTCTCATGAGCAATTAGTTTTGGTTGATGAAAGTCAGATTTCCAGTGGTGATATGTGATGATGAAATAGATATAAGAAGATGTGGTATGAGTGCCAATGAGACAACTCTCCATCCAAGTCAAAATTTATAAAAGTAAACCATTATAGGTCAAAGTATGGTCTTCAACATGGAGCCTTGGCTCACACCGAACAGTAAGCTATAAAGGGCCCCAAAAATTACTAGTGTAAAACCATTCAAACGGGAAAACCAACGGTCTAATCTATATAAAAAACGAGAAACGAGAAACACTTATGAACCACATCAACAAACTGAACATCAGATTCCTGACTTAGGACAGGTGCATTCTATCTCCTCATAATTCTTATACGAAAGAAAAATTCAGATAAGGCTTGCGTTTTTATTATGGCCCAGCAACAAAGTTGTCGGGGCCATATGGTGTTATCCTTGTCCGACTTTCCGTCATTTTGCAACGAACAGTTATACGGACTTTTTTTTTCTAAACCCCTTCACATAATGAGCCTATATTTAGTATGTGAGTCAACTATGATAAGTAACAAATCGAGTTTACGTTTGGTTCCGCTCCGCAGATTTTTGCAGAAGTTACGGGCTTTGGACTTTGAAAATTTGGCGAAAATAACAGTTATACGGACTTTTTTTTCTAAACGCCTTCACATATTGAGCTAGTTTTCAGTATGTGAGTCTACTATGATGAGTTACAGATCGAGTTTACGTTTGGTTTTGCTCAATTGATTTTTGCTGAAACTAGGGGAAAGGACTTTGAAAATTTTGTTAAAATAACATGTATACGTTTTTTTTTTAAACGCCTTCACCTATTGAGCTGATTTTTAGTATGTGAGTCAACTATCATGAGTTATAAACCAAATTTACGTTTGGTTCCGGTCCATTAATTTTTGCTGAAATTACAGGCTTTGGACATTGAAAATTTTGTGAAAAATAACAGTTGTACAGACTTTTATTCTCAAATTATCACTCCAAAAAAATGGCTCTAAGCTTTGTTGCGAACAGGGCCATTCGTACCGTTCTGACACATCTAGTTTCATGAGAATTAAATCTACAACTTAAAGTGCATATGTAGCATTTTTTTATGTAACTGTTTTCTTTAAGTGATATGTTTATATATCACCTTTAATGATCGTTAATCTGTTTAACATTCGATCCCGGGTAAATAGTTTTCATCACTTCTGATTATCCGTGTGCAACAATTAAAATGTTTACTTTGCAATTTCCTTCAATCGACACAATTTGTAGGCATAGAAGAAACATCTTATTTTCTAAATCACATATTTAATTAAAAATTTGATGAATTTCGTCAGTAATAAAAGACGAACGAGTAAGTGAAAATGAACACCTTATTTTGCAATGTAATACAAGATGTTATTATTTTTAAAAATCTTCGTTTCTACTGGCCTCAAATTCTTCACTCGATTTTGTTTTCTTCAGAAAACTTAGATCCACGAATTTAAGAACCCACGAACATGTAACTTTTGCTTAAACCACGAAAATTGATACCCACGAATAAAAGTACTCTCACACTATAATATTTTGAGAGTATACGAAAAAAATATCAAAGTAATAATTAACAAAACCATATATATTCGACTTGGATTTGTTGTTCAGATGAATGAGAAAACAATTAACAAAACTAAAATATGAGAACTAGGTTATCCGGATATCTGGTTTAATCTTTAAGAATCATTAATTGTTTTAATTTTCCATTTTTCGAATGGAATAAATTTCAATCAAACTGCCATGGATGAAGCACAATCAATCTGGTTTTACAATTTATGTCAAGGTAGTTGGAATGTTAAATGAAATGT